AAGAATAAAAATAATATTTTATCAATTAATTGTTACATTCCTATCTTCTTAAATAAAACACTAGACTTATAAAGTTGAACAAAAGAGGTTATTATTAAGGTCACATGATAGGCATGTTCAATTTTACCATTAGAAGCAGGTAATAATTGTAATGATGAGTGCCAACGATCTAAATAATTCAGTTGTTATCTCTTTCTACTAGAAATAAGAGATTCTGAATTCGAATCGGATGACATACGAGTGGAGTGGGATAAAAAATGAGAGATAGTTGTCTCCCATTATGCAACCAAGATAAAAATAATAATAATAATTGTAATGATTAGTTAATAGTTATAATTTTTAATTAATATTTTTTTGTCTCAAATAATATTTGTACTTTTATTTTTTTAATTAAGAATTTGAAAAGAATTCATATATTTATTTATATTACTTTTATAAAGAAGTTAGAAGATAAAGTAATTCTTTTTGTGATAGAATAATTAATTAAAATAAATTGATAATGATAATGTTAAACTAGGAAACATATATTTTATCTACATTTAAAAAAATAAAAAATAATAATTAATTTGAAACAATCTAAAAGTAAAAAAAATGACAATTATTTTAAAATAAAGAGAGTAGTTAATAAAATAATTAATATCTATTATTTAATTATTGCACCGTAACAAATTATAAACTAGTAAAATTAGATAAACTAATTTATGTGACTATAACCATGGCCATAATGTTGGCATTTAAGATTGGATCTTTCTTTTTTTTTTAATAATAATATACTTATAATATAATGCTTCGTATAATTATAAATTTATAATCATCATTTATTATTAAATAAGTAAATACATAATTATTCAAAAAAATAATAATAAGAGTGGTTACATGTAGTAATACATTGTAACATGATATTATATGCCATGCATTATGAGCTACATATAAAGAATCACTAATACTTGAGTAATAATAGTATTTTTGTTGATAAAAAATATTATGTATCATTATAATTATATATATATCAAAATTTTAATTATGGATAGATATTTAAATAAAAAGAATTAAGTATATAATAATATGTAATAGTTATAAATTTATAATATTACATAACATTATAAATATTTTTTTTGAGTGATTTATGGAATTTGTTAGAAATTATTACTAATGTTTTCTCTTATGTGACTTGAACAAGGCTACAAGGCATAGTTTATTGGGAAAGTTTTATATTAAAAAAGTGGTTAGAAAAGTATTATATAAAAAGTTAAAGCAAAATATCCAAATCCACCTTCAAAATATAATAGTAGAGACGGAACCACCATTAAACAAAAAAACATAAACAAATTCACTCATAAAGTTTTCGATTTGAATAAATCACCTTAAATTTAACGTATAACGTTATCTGACATCAATAATTCGTTAATTCGTTAACAGATTACTGATGTCAGATGATATCACACATTAAATTTGAAGTGATTTGTCTAAATCGAAAATTTTATGGGTGGATTTGTCCTTAATTTTTGTTCAGATATGGATCCGTCCTTACTACTATACTTTGAAGGTCGATTTGGGTATTCTACCAAAAGTTAATGAGTATTATAATAAAATTTTGTTAAAATTGTTAAATTTTTTATTTAAAGAACAATAATATAGAAAAAATTAATTTAAAAAATTTATCAAATGAGTTCCATATGAAAAAAGTTAAAAGAAAACTTATATAAATAACTTTATAAAAAATTTTGTTAAAATTTAAAAGAGAAAATCATTTGATAACCAAACACCACTTAAAAGTTTTTTTACTATAAATTTGAATGAAAAAAGATCGTGACCTCGATTTTTTTAATTGAACAATCAAAATCATAAATGTTTCAAAGAGGAGTGCTAGGAGCACTCGCCTCCTGCACTCTCCGGCCAACACTTTCACTTTTATTGGGCCACGTTATTCTAGTAAGCAAGAGGGTCCACCGCAAAGCCCGAAACAAGCTTACGTGGCCCAATGAAAAGGGAAGTGTTGCTGGAGAGTGCACAAGGCGAGTGCCCCTAGCACTGCTCATGTTTCCAAAAGAGCAGTCCTAGGGGCACTTGCCTCCTGCACTCTCCGGCCAACAATCCCCCTTTTATTGGGCCGCGTAAGGTTGTTTAAGCTCTGAAGTGTCACCTCTTACAAACTAAAATAACGTGGCCCAATGAAAGGAGGAGTGTTGGCCGGAGAGTGCAGAAGGCGAGTGCCCCTAGCACTGCTCTGTTTCAAAATACCACTTCTGTTGGACCAAAAGCTTCTTAATGAAGGTTCTGATATTTTTGGCGCATAAATCAATGATGTGTTCAAAATTGAATTTTAATTAATTAGTTTAATCCAACTACATGGCTGTGATTTATGCGGTCTCACTTTCATTTTTATTTTATCAAACAAAAAATGCAGTCAATCCAATTCAGACTTTAGTATAAGCTGCAATTAATACATTTACCTTACATAAAAGTAGAAAAGCTAAATTATAAAGGTTGGATCTATTTATGCAGAGTTGTAAATAAACCAAATTAATTATTAAAATGTTTAAATTGAGTTTAACTCTACAGTAACAAGCTTGAGCCAAGCTCAATTTTTGTCAACTTCAAAAAATTAGAGCTTGTCCTTGACTTATTTAGAAAATGGTGGAGCTCTATCTCATCTCATTTATCAAACAAATGAAAAAGATGAGAGCT